TTTTTGATGAGGAGGAAGAGAATATAGTTGATATAGATGAAGAATTGAAAATAATTATTATAGCTAATGGAGGTAAGTTTAATATTAGTCAACCTCAAAATATGGATAATCTAGTAGAAAAAATAAAGGAGAGTTTATATAAAGCATTAGACCATTATTGGGATGCATCTCTTGATTGTTCTTTAATTGCAATGTTACTTGATCCACGTTGTAAGTCAATGAAAAAATTAGATAGTTGGGAACGTGATAAGGCTATTGATCTTTTGTAAGAAAAATATGATTTACTTAGCATTAGAAATGAAAGTATTACTAACTTGGTGAATTTAAAAAAAAATGATAATCAAATGAGCCTTTTTTCAATAATGTTTGGGTCAGATATAATGTCAACATCAGATAAAAATGAAGTAGACAAATATCTTAAAGTAGATCAAATGCCAATTACAACTAATCCACTTAACTGGTAGAAAGATGTTCAAGAAAAATTTCCGATCCTTGCCAATTTGGCAAGAAAATACTTGGCTATACCTTCCACATCAACCCCCAGTGAACGCTTATTTTCGAGTGCAGGTAATTTAATGACAGCAAAATGTACATCAATTAACACCGGCTTATTTGAAAGAATTCTTTTTCTTAAACAAAATATCGGTATTCTGGGTACTATATTTGAGTCACAGTTGAAATAATATTCATTGTGAGGGGCACCAAGCACTATCCCAACTATTTTTCTGAAACAATATTATATTATATATTTTTAGTAAAGCTCCATATTACGATATTACCATTATATCTTAACAGTATTATTTTATATATATAACTTAGAATAATATCGAATTTTGTAGATACAGTATACTGTATACTGTATTTATTAGGTCTAGTAAATATAATAAATATATAACGAACTTTGTCTTATCTAGTAAATATATAACGAATTTGTCATTTAAAATATACACTAATACTTTTTGATGTCTAAATAACCACTCTACTCTATTCGGGTTTGAATATATTAGGTAAAAGCTGCACTAAATAAATTTTTGTAATAATAATGATCATATTAAACCCTAACCCTGACTCTGAGAGAGCGAAAGGGTAAAAATATCATTAATAATCGAAAAATACTCATATATAGTTAAATTTAGTGATAAACTTGTGATCCAACAATATCAGTATCGTTATTTGAAACCTGAATTAAAGTCATAGTATAAAATAAAAAAAATAAAACAATAAAAATAAAAATAAGAAAAACAGAGAATATTTAACTTAATGATTGCCTGATTTTTGTACAAGAATTAAGTTTAAGCTCTAATGACTTGAACTAAGTCTTCTATACTTCAATCAAAACTCAAGTAATAAAAAAAAAGTTCCTTCTAATCCATACTATGCGGTGAAATTTATTATAAAATGTACAAAAGTGAAACATTTACCAAAGCATTAGAAATCATGCCAATGCATTGAGGCAACATGAAATAACCCTTAACAGGCCTATTCACATAATATTTTATTTATAGATCACTTTAAAAATTATTTAATATTAAAATCCAGATATAATCCAGATTAGAAACCGGATAACCAACCAATATCTGTTTATACATCCGGATTAAGAGAATTAAAACAGGATGTCTATCTGGATATCTGGTTTTATATCCAGATCCAAGCACTACCTCTATTTCAATCCTGGCATATATGGATAACACACTATGGATAGCTCAGTCTAAAGAACAAATAACTCAAATTATTTCAATAGCCTCATCTTTTTACTAAATAGCAGATATACAAATTAATCCAACAAAATCAGTATTGACTACCAACTCCAAATCTTCCTCTTCTATTTTCTTCATCAACTCTACAATTCAGCCTATCTCAGCTAGTCA